GCAAGTAATTCTCTTGAAATCAAATGCTCAAAGTTGCTTTTGTAACAAAACAAAACAATAAATAAAAGCATCTGCATTATAAACAAAACAGGAGTAATGTAGAACATACGAAAATGAAAGAACAATTAATTAAATGCCGTATACATTTTACTTCTACTTTCTTTAGAAAATAACATTACCTACACTATATTTTTAAGTATGATATTCAGGGTAGAACAAGTTTCATTTGATTCATGCTATTACCTGAGAGGATGGTCTCTGCATTCACTGAGAGGATGGTCCTTGCATTCACTGGTTCGGACCAATCACTAGAACCAGCTCCATTGACAGTTCGGACCTGACAAGCGTAGACAAAAATAAAAAAAAATGACAATACAGACATCATCCACACATAAAACACACACAAAAATTGTTTCAATCTTAATTATAGATATTCATTTCGTAGAGAAGAACCAATCTACAATTATCATAAGCGTCCGCATCGCAACAGTTAATATTGAGATTGCATTAAAGCATTCATATGTGATCCGCTTGAGTGCAATCTCACCCATGTAATTGGGGGTTGCTTGTTAGATCAATGACACAAATATGAAAGAGAATCACTTTGTGATTTCATCTAAAAGTATACCGTGTGACTCAAAAAAATGTTTACACTCAATTGTGATTTATTTTAAAAGTCAGCTATGAACGAAAAGCTATCATACATGTTTTGAAAGAGTGCTTTATCCCGATTCGTTTAGTATCATGTGTGTGTGGTACGTGTTCACGCTTGGATGAACAGGAGGCATTGTTTGCGAGAGTGCAAAAATCGACTTGCGTAAAAGTATTAAAGGTAAAGACCAGTTTTGGAAACGCCCCTCTCTCAAAAAATGAAATGGAAGCTCTTATTACCAAACATGTGAAAGAATATGTTTTGACTAATACGTGATCATACAAATTTTGCCGAGAAACCGCCTACTAATTGATATATTTGGTAAATTATTATATCTATTTGGACGCGATAGATAAAACACACGTGTCGCGCACGTGTGGGGGTAGTCCCATATACATCTTTGATTATAAGAATTACATGACATGCAGAATTGACAACAGACTTAACTCCGTTTCGTTGACAATCAGCCATGCATGAAGTCTTTCGTCTACGGCTGATTGTCAACGAAATGGAGTTAAGTCTTTTGTCAACTCTGTTTGTTGCTACGGCAGGCACCAGTGAAAACGAATTCGTTCGATAAAATTATGGAAATACAAGCACTACTTTAAACAAACAGAACTTTGTCATTCCTTGCTCATTTTTCTTGATTGAGGTGTCATATGAAAGGGCAGAAACTCAACTTTCTAGAAATGTGATTTTCCCCTTGAAATTCAGATACCGTCTGCCAAATGACATTTTGGTTTCCTCTCTTCAAATTCATTTTAATCACTCATTTATCAATTATAAATGTGATTAAGTTATGATAAAACATCGATAATTCTCGGTTTCGTTTTTTCTGGGACGCACTGTATAGTTTCTCCAATAGCGCTAAGGATAGCAGCATATTCTACAATGTTCTTCACATTGAAAGCTTGTACTTAAATGTGAAGCCGAGATTGAACATTCCTTTAATCGCTGGGTCTTAAGCATTACGACATCTTACCTGAACTGTGTAGCTGATTTCACTGGCCAGGTCCATCACACTATGTTCTCCATCAAATGCACCAGTCAATACTTCTTCCATCTTATAATTGCCATCACCAGCTTGATCAGTTCGCTTGTAGCGGATGATATACTTCTGGATGTTACCATTGATGTTAGATGGTAGGGGGGTAGACCAGGATACAGTGAAGGAGCTTGTAGTACTCTGCGGTATAGCCACATTGATAGGACTAGGTGCAACTGTTAAAAAGAAAATTATTTATAAAAATGTCACATTGATTATGGTAGACTTATGTATCGATGCTCCAGAATATCGATTGCTATTGTTAGTACATATACCGTCTGAACAGGTTAGTTCAATTTCTAATTCCAGAAACTAATTATATTACGAGTGCAACTAAAGTGACTAATTTAACAAAATTCAGAGTTGGAATCACAATGACAATTTAATGACATTAACAAGTACTCTAATGCCTCAAACAGCCAGGTCTACGATTTATATGATGTGGAAAGAAGTAGTTTATTATAAATACATTTCTATAGATTATATTTGAGGTCTTATTTCTCTTGGTGATCACCGACGATATGTAAAACGTAAACGTATTCGTACATATAGGCCACTAACGTTCAACCCGACGCTGGATTTAAGCATCGTCTGAAGTTGTGTTTAATAAAAAAGTTAGACCGATTTAAGTCTAATTCTAGAAGAAATGACTTTCACTCTATCAAGATTAATTAAATGTATACATACAGTTGAAAGTATATTGTGGAATAAACAAAAATAGTAATGTTAGAAGTAGGTTGTGACAAATATATCGACAAGAATATTAACTTTTTCGCTTAACCGGCAAATCAACTACCCCCCCCCCCCCACCCAAGAAATTAAAAAAAAAACATCCCAAGATAAACACCGACCTTCTTCAAGTGTTTTTCCGATAGTCTCACTGCTTCCGTCACTCTCCTCGTCTTTATTTGATGCAGTCAGTTGGATGGTATAGTACAGATAGGTGTCTAAACCTCTTAACGTGTAGGAGCTTGTGTCATTAGGAACTATGAGAGAGTTTAAAGAAGCTGACCCAGTGGAAGCGTAGTAGATCGTATAATGAGTCACACCACTCCTGCATTCTGCCGATTCCAAGGGGAGGTGCTAAAACATAAAAGTGGTGCAAATGCATACATCACAATCACATACAGAAGTCACTTTCGCACTAATAAACACAACTACAAGATGTTATCAATTGTTGTCTACAATTTCTCGCATTAGTAAGGATGCTTCAATCAACATGATGGAGCTTTTTGCTGATCGAACAACAATCTCTTGATCACAAAACATGCTTATATTTACTACTTTCTGTGGAATAAAATCGAAACTCCATTTCATAAACTTAAACAGCTCATACTTTCAAAATAGCAACAAACAAAAATCTTTTACACAAGTCGTATTTCATTTAGTCAAACATTGAGGTACGTAAAAAAAATCATCCGAAATGCCGGAGGCATGATAGTTAGTGATGTGAAGTAGTTCTTATTTAGCATATTTTGAGGAAATTGTAGGTAAAATTGTGTAGATCCAATTAAGGTTGTACATGCATTTACCAGTTCCATATCCTAACGATAAGGTTCTTCCTGTATGTGATACAAAATATGACTAGTTACATTTCACTAAGTGACCAAACAGCTATCCTTAAACAGTTCATACCTCCCATTCCACCTCAAGCTCTTTAGCGTTGATGGCTGCCACATGTAGTCCAGGTGGAGAGGCACTGGGTTCTGAAGTTCAAATATTATACAGAAGATACTAAAAAATGGCCTTTAGTAGATAAATTAAATATATGAATATGAAAATCATGGTTATATGATAGACTGCTACAGCAGGTACTCGTCATGCGATTTTGAACTAAATGTCAATAAGTCAACTTAAAACTACCGTTGGGCAAAACACAATGAAGGATAATATAAACATATTTAGGAAAATCCATATTTGTAGAAAAAAATTTCTGTTTCAAATTTTAGAAAGATAGAACATTTAAAAAGGAGAATGCATATGCATTAAATGGAAAATACAAACATTTCTATGAAACAGATTTTACTTACAGAACTAAATATGTTAAAAAGCCTTCAATCATTGGAAAGTGCTGAAATATCCCAATTTGTATAAATAATTTAGTTATGATGTAATACATGTACTCTCTTGTAGATGAATATACATTGAAAAATAAGCATCCTCACGAAAAGAAATTATTCTGCACTCGAAGCCATGACAAACCCTTGGCAGATTCGAGCATTTATCTTCTGAACATAACTTACTTGTACAGAGAGTTATTGTGTTGTTCTTCGGAGATAAAGGTCCTGTTCCACCTGTTCCTTCCCTCACTGCTGCTACACGAAACCTGTAACCTGTGTCGGGTATCAGGTTACCAACGATGGTTGATGTGGTGAGTTGGTCTACTCTCTGATCCGTTACCCAGTCACCATCCTTCTTTACAAAGACATCATATCCTACCAGAGGAGGATCACCTATGTCATCTTCTTCAGACCATGCATTCCATCGAAGACCTACTGTAGTTGACGTGGTGCTCACTATCACTGGTGCTTTCTCTAGGACTGGCAGATCTGACAAACAGAAAAGAGACATAAATAATAATACAGTTGATTGAAATAACCGTCAAAATCAATGACACACATATAATCTAAGTTTCTTTCATCAAGTCAATATGAAAATAAAATTTACCAAAGTACACGAAAAAAAAAAAGATTCTGAATTTAAAGATAGTGAATTCCTGCTTTCTATTACACACGTATCTCACAGAAGTACAGTAGAGTAAAGGGATATCACACAGTTTGCTCACCATGTGTTGCGCTGGTATAAGCCGTACTGGGATAGCCTACATATTCAACATATAGAATGCAAACGTATCTCCCATATTCCTGTGGATACACACTATCAACATCAAAGACAACAGCCCGTTCTGACCCTGAGACAGTGCTCGATCTCCTGGTGATTCCTGTCCTGTTTTCGGTGCTTCCAGTATGTCGATACAAATCAACTGCGGATTTACGAGGAAGTGGGCTACCCTCAGCATAACATGTGAAGCTAGATGGTTGATATGGGTTCACTCTCACTGGAACCAATCTTGATATTCCTGTCAATAATCAAGTGAAGCTTTGATATATTAACCAAATACACATCCACATACAACACTAAGGCAGACTCTAGAACAATGATTTCATTCAGAATTTGCTTGCTTTGTGTAATTAACTTACAATACATATGATAATCACTTTGTAGAACATTAACCAATCATGATACTCACAAATAAAAGAATGGATTTGTTGGTATTAGAATTATTACTTAACTACTTATTACTTAACATCTTGTTATTCCTGTCACAAACCAATCAAAAATACAATAATTATATTCAACTTAACATGTCAAGAGCAGTAAAAGATTGCAAACGAGTCAGTCATAACATTAGTATTACTATCAAGAACTAAGCAGGAACATAACAAATACGTAATACAATGGTACATGAACATGCAGGTGTACCTAAACAAGGATGATTTTAATATGATTATTTTTTTCAAAATCTAATTGCTAGATGAATATCAATGCAATACTCCTGGCAATCATTAATGCACTTAAAAAAAAACACTCACTATTATTCATCATGATGTCTATCCACTTTATTAGCAACAAAGATGAACCAATAACAGATAATCATTTGGACGATAAAAGGTTTGTTTTTCATTGTTTATAATAAACTTCCACTTACTGCATGTATAGTGTAGGACAAATTACACAGATAAATATATTGTACTAAACATTTGCATCAAGCAAAACAATACAAAAGAGTTTGTATACTTATGTGTACCTCTTCGATAGCTTATACCGAAGTACAAGATCTTAGTCTACAAGATTATTGAGCAAGATTATGAATTACAGCTACCCACAATGAAATACATGCAAACTTAGTTCCATATGCACTCTGAGGTTGCTTTTAATCTGAACCATTTTCAGCTGAACAAGAAGAAAAAACAGAATACAAAGTGCTGGGTATAATTACTTTGACTGCAGTACGGTTCAATCCAGCTATCAATACATTGTCCCTTGCAAAGACCTCTCCGCTTCTCACAGGCCTCCGGTGCACAATGACATTGCTGAAGACAATCTAAACCAAATGTACCCGCTTCACACTCTGAAAAACATAAAACAAAAGTTGAGTATATTGGAAACATCTGGTCAATGGTCAATGATTACACCTAAACACCCAAAACGAAGATAACTTTGGCTGAGGTCTACTGGAAATAGGGTTGTAAACGCAAAAATCAAATCATTTTAATCATATGAAATTAGGAGATTTTCTTCTGGCTCATGTCTTTGTGAGTATGTGTAACTAAGAAGTAAAGGTGGTAAAGAAGTAAAGATGGTCTGCAAATTCGACATGTAAGACATGTGCATTATCTTGGGGTGTGGTTGGACCAGCACCTTAACTGGAATGAACACATTAAGCATACTTCCAGCAAAATTGCTTCAAGATTGGCACTATCGAGACGTGTCAGAAAATATCTAACGATAGACAATGCCAAGTTATTAGCAAATGCACTGGTATTACCATATTTTGACCATTGTTGCACCTCATGGTCAAATGGTATTCAAGAATCCTCCTCCAGATTATACATACACATAAATGTATTTTTTTTCTATCACAGCACTATGTACAAAAATTAGGTTGATATAACTGATGAACATACATGTTTTTCTGAGTGAACATACATGTGTACGTAAACACATACTGGTTGATCATGCAAACTCAACCGTGCTTGATGGAAAATTGCATGGAATCTGGAGATAGATGAATAGGAGTTGATATGGAAAATTCAACAACCTTTATTGGAAAAAAAGTATTTCACCTTCACATTCGATCTGGCCACTGTGTACATTGTATCCTAGAGCACACTTCTGCTCAGGGCACTCTCCAGTATCTTTATCACATGGTTCATCATTTAAGCAACGACATTTATCAGTGCATTGAGATCCAAAGTAGCCGTCTTCACAATCATCTGGAACTGAGGATGATAAAAACAATATTTTAGAAAAAACAATTTAGCAAGTACTTCTAGCAAATAATATTAGCTCATTACAAATAGATTGTTGCCTTGTAAATAATCATTTAAAAAAAAAATTGTGCACTGTTGATTTCAATTATTACACATATTCTTGAATTTAACAGTGGCTTCACTAAATAAATTCGTGTCTTGTTTTAGAGAAATTACCTCATCTATTAATAAACACGAATTGGACATTGTGGCAGATTAGCCCGGTGTTAAACAAGTTATCCAATAAAGTCGTCCACTCGTCTACTTCTTCTACTTCTACTACCATTACTTCTCCTAATGAAAATGGAATATATGAGAGGAGTTGTCCCCAATAAACAGCTTCAGAGAGTTTCTTCAAAAAAAGAATAGCTTCAAGTTAATTTTAACCCATTGTCTACTGAATTATCTTATTACAAACATGTATAAAATAGGAGCCACCCGGGTCCCGTAGGCAACGGGGTAAACAAATAACAAACAAAAATTTCAAAAATTACAAAAATTACAGTGTACATGTAACATTCTGATTTATCTTATTGTAGGAAAGCATTTATTTCATATCATTACTGACCATGACTTACTTTGACAGTTGTCCCCAGACCAGCCAGTCTGACATCCACCTGTACATATTCCACTATAGATATCACATGATGAACCACCACCTGCACAGTGACATGTCTGTGAACATCCTGGACCATATGTACCACCAGTACATACTGTAATAGAATTCAAAATAAAACATCAGGATATACAGATGCAATACATTCATTAAAAAGAAATATTTGACTCGTAACAATAAATTATTCTTATTAATTTCTCTCCTTCTCTTCCTCCTTCCTTTTCTTTTCCTTCTTCTTCTTCTTCTTCTTCTTCTCATTCTTCTTCTTCTTCTCCTCCTTATTTTCTCCACTGAGTTGCACCTGACCTCACTTATGAACCTAATCACTTTATGGTATGTGCTTTGGATAGTCAAAGAAAAACTAGAATTGTTTGAGAATGGGAGCTAGACATATGATTACTTTTTGGCCTTGTAGATATTTTCACTATCAGAATTTGATCACAATTAGTTGACTATCGGAAGACTTTGAAGGTATTGAGAAGCAAATACTGCAAGGAGCAGTCGAAGGAAAACGGGGTAGAGGTCGTCCACCAATATCTTGGACTGATGATATCAAGAAAGTGTCTGGACAAGGAATGAAAGGTGCAACACATATGGCAGGTGAAAGAGTTGCATGGCGTGCTCTCGTGAAGGCCACAGCAGCGCCTTACAGCGCCACCTGAAGTTGATGATGATGAGGACTTACGTGTCCTACATGCAAGACCACGGGCACCGACGTCACATGAACATCCGTAAGGATCAGGAAGGCAAAAAAGAAACCCATGACATCGTGTGGTAGGATCTTCGCTAAATGCACATTGATGCTCGCAGTTCAATCCAAATCGATTTCCACCATTAGTTCTACAAACTGAAGAAAAAAATAGTTGCATTGTTGTCTAATGATCTTTCGAACCAATATTTTTTACTTCACATGAATGAAACCCTCCAATACCATGTATAGCAAAGTTCGTCGATTTTAACAATTACTGTTGTTGAAATATTTATTTAGATATTATTTAGACATTTCATATAGTATTAATGAATAAGAAACAAAAGCAAATCTTTTCCCCTGCTGTACATTATTTGTGATTAATTTGTTTGTATTGATTTACTTGATGTGCAGTGTATAAACATGTACATGTAGAATGACCAGTAGCTCTGGCAGAGAGGGTCACTTTACAAAGTATTTACAAAGTCATTTCAGTTTATATAACAGACTATTAATAATACATGAGAGATAATACATTATTAACAGAATTATAAATGATATATCAACATTTCTTGCAAACGATTCCAGGTAAAATTAAGATTTACAAGTACACATATTAACATTTCAAAAGACATGATGTATAATGCTATTCTGATTTCTCTATTCTCTCGGCAGGTAAAAGAATATTTGAAATGAACATGTAAAATAGATGTACATTACTCTGTTCATTTCCAATGGAATAAGTCAAGGAATATCTTCCTCAATTCATCTATTAACCCTTACTGTACCGGGCTATTTCGAGCACTCTCTGACTGGGGGGGGGGGGGGGGGGGGGGGCCTGGGAGGCCCCCCCCTATGATCTCGGCCGTCGAATGTCCAATGAACGCGAAAATTTGCATGCTTGTAGATATTTACGTAAGGAACAAGCTGGTATAATTAGTTTTTTCCTAATATGCAAATTTTTGTCGTTATAGCCTAATTAATTATGCAAAATGCTAATGTTATGCATTTTACAGAAAATTCTACATATTTGTCCGTAGACTTGTGAAGAATCTTGAAAATGTATTGAATAAATGTTTCCTTCATCTCAAATTCATGAGGTTTCATTATTTTTATGATATTTGAAAATGCATAGGTTAATTTGCATAAATTATGAATACGCATTCATGAATATCAAATCTGGAAATATATATAGGGAATTAGAATCATTACAAAAATTGTCATACTCCACTTTTTGAATGTTGAAACTCATTATTCATAGAAAAAATTCTTTTCGATAAAGACAAAATAGTTATTTGATGTAATTAATAATGATAATTTATGCAAATTTGATGCGATTTTCAACTTTTATTTTCTTATGTATTTTATTGTTTTTTATTTCTTATTATATCTATTGTTTTATTTTTAATGTATTCTTTTGTTCTGAAATACATCAAGTTACTTTGAGAAACATATAAAAGCAATTTGATATCAATTCATATCTTCACAATTCTGCTTGTACATGAATATATGCAATTATAGCACTTTTTTGATGACATGCGCATACTAATTGTTATGTAACACCTTACAGGTATATCCGATTTCGACGAAAATGGTATCAAAATGTGCGTAAGACTTGAGGAAAAAAAGTCATGAAACGACAATTCAAAATTCTGAGCGGTTGCGGCGCGATCTCCGAAAATGTCGAATAAGTACAGTAAGGGTTAAGAGATTTAAATAAACGACATTCCACATGAAGTTCTGCAGACCTACTTACTTTCTAAACAATTTGGTCCCTTGAAGTTGTTAGGACAGATACATAGACCAGACTTGTCATCACAGACTCCGCCATTGTAGCATTTATCAAATATACCATAACACTCAGGGGGACCCCACTTACCAGCAGGGCATTCTAATATGAGATAGGGAGAGTAAAAAAAAAATTCTCAAATACATTTCACTAAAGATTACATTTACAAAAATAGAAGTAGACAATTGAAAAGTTGGCTTAACATTAGAGTTCTAGAATTCAAATTTTCAAAGTAGAACTATAGTGTAATCAAGCGCGGATCCAGGGTATCTGAGGCGGCGGGGGGGGGGGCAAATTTGAAATTATGCGAGCCAAATATTGTAACGTAATGGTGAAACCGGCAGAGGCGACATGAGTAAAAAAAAACATTTGGGGACAGGGGGGGGGGGGGGGGGGGTTAGACACAAACAATCCGCATCACCCCACTCTTACATGCAGGCCCCGCTAAACACTTCTCTAAGTAGGTGGGGTGGTATTTACGATCAGGTAGAGCGTAGCGTGAATTGGCGTGTGGTAGAGCCCCAAGAAGCTCAGGGGGTATAGGCATTTAATAACCGTCAGATGAAGTTGATAACTTATTTGTGGCACTGGCAGGACACAAATTGGTGTGGGGTCCACTCAGGGGTTTGGGGCAATAGATTGCGGTCAGATGAGCATATTTTGATACCCTATTTGTGACACTGGTAGGTCACGAATTGGCGTGGGGTCCAAGGGGCGGAACCCCGGAGACTTAGGGGTTTTAGGCATTAAAATTACTGCCAGATTAGCATCCAGGGGTCTGCCTTAGGGCCCTAGGTGGGGTCCAGGGGGCAGAGCTCCCGGAAGCTCAGGGGTTTTTATGCATTTAATCACGGTCAGATGAGCACATTTTGACAAAAAGGCAGGCCACTATTCTTTCTTTTTTTCTTTAGGAATTTGCCATTTACCAACAAACGCATAAAAAGTATAATTTACCACAGATTGAGGAAAAATCTCGGGAAATTATGTCATTTCTGCAACATTTGTAAATCACCGGTATCGAATTTGAAATAAACAAAGTTTGAATTTTATTTGGGGGCATCTGTCCCCCAGCCCCCCATCAGTAGGCCAGTCATATTGCTCCGATTGTCTCATTTTCGCTCGCGTGAACATTGCTAGCACAAACCACTGACCTCTACCTCCTGTACGGATCATCACCCATTCCCATTCATTATACGTTACGTACTAAAAGGCTGTATTGTCTGACCGTTCATGAATATTCATGTTTTTGCTTACCTCGGCTAAATGTTTGCTTTTACTAAATTGAAAAATTACGGTGGGGGGTTGGATGAAATGGACATAATGAAATAGGCAGAAGTGATCTATGATAATTCATGCTTTTTATGTTTCGTGTGCTCGACCTATAATCTTCAAATCGCTTGGCAAACTGAGTCCAAAGTTAGACTTGTTTCACATTATAGGCAATGACGAGCTTGCAACCTATTTTGAAAAATTACGGTGGGTGAACTTTCAAAAGTCAATGAGACATGAGGGCTCCAATGAAAGAGCTAGTGATAACGTACGTCGGGGTGGATGTGCTTTTCGTTTAAACAAAAAATGAATTTTAAACGATTAAAAAAAAAAATGTCCATAGGCTAACATGTTAAGCTGCTGAATCTGACCATGCTCTGACGATAGGGGGCGTTGTGAAATGAGACTAAACGGAGCAAAATGGGCCCCCAATCTACACCTTGTTGGCGGGACAAATCGCAACTGATCTCCCCCTACCTTTCTTCTTTCTCTTTTTTGTTTTTCCCTTTCTCTCCTTTTTTGTCTTTCCATTCCCTTCCTTCTCTCTGTTTTAGGTTTGATGGGGGGAGGCAAGGGCCTTTCAGCCCCCCCCCCCCCGATCCACACGTTGTTGGCTGGATTAATCGTAACTGTTGTCTTCTTCTGTTCACCCTTTTTTTTCTTCTTCTCTTCCTCTTTTTGTTCCGTTTTAGCTCTCCTCTTTCTCTTTCCCTTCCTCCCCCTTTTTTTGGACGGAGGCAAGGGCCTTTGCCCCCCCCCCGAACTACAACTTGTTGGCGGGAAAATTGCAACTGATATCCCCCTTCTTTTCTTTTATCCTTCCTATTTTTTCCTTCCCTTTATCTCTTCTTTTCCTCTTTTCTTTCCCTTTCCTTCCTTCTCTCTTATTTTGTCATGGGGGGGGGGGGTAACAGCTGGGAGGCAAGGCCCTTACGTCCCCCTGTCTCCTTCTTCCCCCTTTTTCTTTTCTACTTCCTTTTCTTTCTATCCCTTTCTCTTTTCTTTCCCTTCTTTCCCTTCTCTCTTTTTCTCTCTCTTTTCCTCCTTTTTTTGCGGGGGGGGGGGGGGGGGGGGAGGGGGGGGGGGGGGGGGGGGAGGGGGGGGGGGAGGGGGGGAGGGGGGGGGGGGAGGCCCGCTCGGCCCCCTGGATCCGCGCCTGAGTGTAGTTCATTGGCTCACTTACATTCTAAATATATGCACAAGCAATTTTACACTACCCCTCTGTACAAATCACATCAAAGATTATGACATGCTAAACCCTGGACTTCATCATTTGAAGTTTTATACATTATTTGAAATTAAATTTGCAAACGGAAACAAGCTGTCCATCTTACGGAAATGTGCCATCCCAAGAGATCAGACTTGGACATTATGTACCAGAATGCTCTAAACTAACGCTATTCATAAATGTTCACATTAATTTATTCTTTAATAATATTAAAAAATATAAATGGATATGAAAAGATTATCATCATGTGACTTACATAATCCAACCAATATGAAATTAATATTTTGGGGCACAATATGAAGCAAAACTTTTTTTGCATGCATCATACCAAACAATTTTATCTCAGAGAACAAATGACCCCTCTCAAGAAGCCCAGTCTCAATAAAGCACGAATAAACTTATACATGTACCTCTGACGATGAGTCTGTATAGTCCACCTCTATTTTGATTCCTCTCGTTATCATAGTAGATCTCATAGAATCCTTGATCTGATGTCTGGATTGGGGTTGGGAAGCTGATCTGAGTCCGCCCATTGACTGATGTAAGAACCTCAATGCCATCTTTCATCCAAGTAATTACGTTGCCAGTCGCTTCAGCATTATAACGCCTAGTCATGCTGATCCTCACTCCGGTGTCATTCACATTAACTGTCTTTGTAAACAATCCATTACTTGATATGAATTTAGCTGTTAAAAGAGATAATGATATAACTTTAATGCATTTCATGTAGCCTATACAGGTCACGTGTAGCTGTTTGCTCACCAAAGGAAACCGTATGCTTTTATGAGACTTTGCATTGAATTAGTTTACTGTTGATACATTTCAATTACAAGTTGAGATCATTCGAATGTACATAAACAGCATCAACATAAATGAGATAATTTTAGGCTCAACTCAATACCGCGCATGCTTTGCATATACGATAATTTTTTGGTGTTATTTAAGTCTAAAATTTCCTAACAAAATCCTCCTCTATAATCTCTAGATTCATTCTCAGTATTTATGTGAAATATCAAGCCTTTGTAATAAAGCCATTCTCAAGCATTCATCTTTAACAAGTACGTAAGCGTCATAAGCGGAGCCATTTTATTGGAGCACTCTCGCTCCTGATCCTCGTTTTTAATGCGGATTATAAATGAACTATATTAAAAAATACCTCGCATTAAACAGTAAACAGTTTTAAGCATTTCAAAATTTTGCGCGCGCGCACTTATGCGCGCGCTTTTCCGCGCGTAATGTCATATTGCAACATAGAAACGTCATCATATTTGGCACATTTTTCCAAGCATTCTGAGACCTTGTTAACCTTTTTTTGATCACTAATAACGCAATGAGCGTCCATCAAAGTTGACAGCACGCGCGGACCTTCCCTATCTTTATCCACAATACATGGGCAAAACATGCCTATACAAAATTCATTGTAACTCTTCAGAATGGATAGGAACCCCCAATTTTTTTCTTCATATTTGGATAGATTATGAGTCGGAAATATGATTTCATGTCTCATTTGACCCTCAATTAACACATGGCGTCATCATAATGGCCTCCGAACTCAAATTTTTTATTTGCATATTATGACGTCAGCATATTTTTGGAAAATTGATTGCATCTCTGTAAATATTGATCGATTTTCTTCCAAATTTTGATATGTTCTAGCTGAGACATTTCTCTACAAATGTAATGGACACTTGGTGGCATTTCCACTGTCTTGTAACTTTTTCATGTTATATGCTCTGTGTTTGCCATTTCTTTTTCGTTTATACATGTACCTGGAAATTAAATAGATATAAAAAATTAAAAAAATCGAATTATAATCTTACCATCACTTCGTTGGAAAAATGTAGTAACCCTTGTAACATCTCGATCAGGTTTAGAAGCCTCACAATAGAAAGGACCGAAACCATCATTATCCCATCCGTCTCCTTTGGGGAATGTGACCAATCTGACGTATAAATATGCGTTACTTGAATGTTGCTCATCTTCTGGTGGTGGTCTGTCTGTTGTTATGGGTACTGATCGACCAAATGATAGTAAAGCATCTCTATCTGGTTCACTGCGCCAACATTGATACCGCACAAGGATAGATGTATCTACAGTGGTGTATTCGCGGGTCAACACTGTGATATGAATAACCTCACCTGGAATACCAAAAGAGAATATAATGTTTTGTTTACAGTATACGAAATTATTCATACCCATACCAAGTTTTGCAATTTCTTAAGTATGGAAACAACTATGTTTCTGAAGAATGTAACATATTAAAGCTTATATCAAAAAGTATATAACAAAGGCCCTAATTGAACCAATTCTCATTCTTGAGTTATGGAAACAAAATTACAATTGGTATGAAGAATTCAGTTGTTATACGTAAGTCTATACTCATTTTTCATTTTCCACATGCATTTTGGATTTCAAACCCTCTAGGAACCTTTATGTACTATATGCAATCACTTAAACAATAACATAACTGTAGAATAATCTAAATCTAAATCAATCGATGTCCTATTGCGAAGCAATGAATGTGAGGGCATGCCCCTTCGGGAAAACTAACGTTTAAAATACAAACTGAAAATATGTTTATTTCCACAACGCGTGAACAGATTCACCAAGCAAGGTGCTCAATGCACTCCTGTATACCCCGACTAGGCTACCGTTCTCGATGCTCACATCATTCATGGAATTCCTATTCACCACTAGTTTACCAATTCTTTTTTAATTGCATAACCTACATCAGTAGTATGGGATATTTACAAAAAATCTCTACCGATTTTAATGCAAAGGTCAAAACCCAGTTTTATCATGCGTCTAGTTATAATATGTTTATATTTAATGCAAGGGGGTGTAGCACCTAAGCAAGAAGTCTAATCATTCTCACGAATACCCTGATAAATAAAATAAGTAAAAATGGGGACACCTCCGAATCACCACACGTGGAAGCTAGCAAACAGACATCTCACATTTAACAAGCATGTCTCTCGCCATCAAGATACTTCCGAATAGGAAATTAACTGTGTATAAGGACCGAGATTTTGTCCCTTCAAGCATTACACATTTTGTTTCTTTCAAGGAAAATAGTAAACATACTGTAACTACCCCCCCAACACAATAGACGTAGATCATAACCTTGAAGCACGATCGCTGAGGGCAAAGTACGTCAAAAGTTTTCTTATGATAATAGAAGTATTTTCAATATCGTTCGCATTATATTCAACAAAACCAAGGTACTTTTGCATGTACAATTGGCAACTATAATGTACATTTACACTTTACATCTTGGTAGAACGCAGAGGCGGTGGAGCGAATTCCAAACTGGGGGGGGGGGGGAACAAACAAAAAAGGGCACTTTGGGGGAAGGGCACCTACAAAGGGAATTCTCAAGGCGAAAATATATACTTTTTTTTTAACATTGGTATATACCCCTACATTGTGCTAACATTATTAGGGATGATTTCAATATTTGTTTCTCTTCATATATCATGCAAGATATTGCTTAAGCATCATACTTTGCAGTTTGGTGAGATGGTCTGAATATTCATTTGCGAACGAGCGAAGCGAGCAAGGAAACATATTGCTCCGGTTGTCTCATTATTGCTCGCTGGACGTATATAGCAGACGGCAATTGGCGGATTAGACGACACTTGGTAGTGATTTTGTATGTGAGATTGCTTTGCTAAATATTAAATACAAGAACCTTTTCCATATCTTTAAACTACCATTGATATCTGATAATTAAACAGTTATTTAAATAAACCTACCAAACTACATAATACAATGAAATACTTGACTTAAAGTAGGGGAGTTTGATGTGGTGCACAATTGCACCCCTCTGTAAATAATCGAATAGTCCATGGCGATCATGAATATTCATGTTTTTGCTTACCTCGGCAAAATGCTTGCCTATACTAAATGGAAAAATTACGGTGGGGGGTTGGCTGAAATGGACATAATGAACCGATCAGAACTGATCTATGATAATTCATGCTTGTTATCCTTCGTGTGCTTGACCTATAATCTTACAATCGCTAGGCAAATTGCGTCTAAAGTTCGACTTGTTTCACATGTGTTATATAGGCAATGGCGAGCTAAAAAGTTAAAAAAGGGTAATTAATAAAAGGGGAAGGGGCACTTCTTAAAAAGGAAAAAGGGCACCTCTCAGATTGGAATAGGGCAATTATCATACCTGAAAAGGGTCACTTACTAAAGATTACAAAGGGCACTTATGAGAATGGAAAATGGACACTTATTGCAAAGAAAAGTGGAAACTTGTCGAAGGAAAAGGGCATGTCTCAAAATAAAAGGGGCACTTATCAGAGGTGAAAAGGGGAAGGGTCACTTTTACAAAGTAATAGAGGCACTTTTTCTATTAAAAAAGGGACACTTCTTACGAAGTTAAAGGGGCACTTTGGGGGTACTTGAAAACGTGGGGGCACCGGAATACAAAATTAGGTCGAGTAGCTTTCATGTTATTTGTTCTGATATTTTTTCACCATGGATTTGATATCAGATTTTCAGTTTTGAACAAAAAGTGGATATAGTAAATTTGTATATAATCAAAACAATTATCATTCATCAAACGGGTCGTTACCGTCCAAAACCTTTTTCCATTGAGTGTCATTAATAATTCATTTCTCTAATTGTTTGCAAGAGGAGCTCTCGAAGTCAGGCGCGACTCAAAGGGCTACTGTTTTCTTCTCAATTAATTACTGACACACAGAGATATTTCGGCTTTTTGTTTGTCAAATAGGGAAATTCTGATAAAAAGATTCAGGGCAACTTCTGAAAAGATACTTAGATGAAACTAATGTCCCAAAACATATTCCAAACAAATGTTGACACCCTTCAACAATGTGCAAATTTCAGACTGAAACGGCCTTCAACTTATAACGATCAAAAGTGTATTTTTTAAACTCCCAGTATAAAAGTAAACAAAACCACCAATAAGTCGCCAGATGTGGATTTTTTGTTTTGGTCTGATTCTTTGGTCTGGTCTTAAAGGTCTATACTCTGACTGAGGATAGCAGCTCCAATAGGACATTACTGATTTTGCAATACTATACGTTAACCTATCATAAATACCACAGAAGCTTTATAATAACACAATCGGAAGATTCTTGCAAACACAGAGAACGCATGATAAACAGCAAAATATTCAGCCTGCATATTCATGACTCCCCTTTCTTCTATCTACCCACCGCCATTCACTGATCTTTTTTAATCAATTTGATTTGCTTCAAATTAAAAGGTCACTAAAAGCATCAATGATATTGAAATATTACACGTAATTTAGTTTCATATTTTATTCATTCATTCAGCCATTTCCATTAAGACGATGTACATACAACTTTAATATAATCAATACACAGATTTCAAAATAGCTATATGCAAACAGAACTGGGTCCCCATGGTTGATAATATCACGATTTAACTCCCAAAAAAGTTCCTGATTACCCAGAAGAAGTAGAAAAGGGAAAAGCTATAAAAGAAAAAAGGATTTATGAAAATCACATCAGGTAAAATATTAGCAATTATAACCTTATAGTTCCTCATTGTCTATGATCGACATCCTTCCTCGTGACAGATGTTTCTTCGGATAAGGCCAATTTAGTTTCATATGTTATTCATTCATTCAGCCATTTACATTAAGACGATGTACATACAACTTTAATATAATCAATACACAGATTTCAAAATAGCTATATGCAAACAGAACTGGGTCCCCATGGTTGATAATATCACGATTTAACTCCCAAAAAAGTTCCTGATTACCCAGAAGAAGAAAAAAAGGGAAAAGCTATAAAAGAAAAAAAGATTTATGAAAATCACATCAGGTAAAATATTAGCAATTAGAACCTTTTAGTTCCTTATCGTCTATGGTCGACATCCTTCCTCGTGACAGATGTTTCTTCGGATTAGGCCAACAACAAAAAAAAAAATCAAAAAAAATCTTTTTCATTTCAATTCTGATACACTGTACATCCTTACTCATTTCCGGGGTAAGCAGGAGTTGGAGATGTTCACTATCGTATATGAAAGTGGGGCAAGGGGCAATTCGCCCCTCCTGACAGGTTTACCACCAGGAAAAAGGTAACGAGTCACTGTAAGCAAAGAAATGCATGAAGTGTAGGCATGCTGTTGGTCAACAGACTAACTCTTTCTTCCTTAGTTAAGTCATTATGGGGTGACGCCCCCCCTGGTAACGCAAACCAGGACATTCCTTACTGAAGGTATATGAATCACAGTTGGAAATGTTTCGCCCCCCCCCCCCATCTTGAGGCCAAGGTTCGGATACGCCACGTCTAGGTTTTTTCCTAATTCAACAATACATTAACAAAATACTCGTAATTCATCCAATTATTATTACACATGAAGTGTAGGCATGCTGTTGGTCAACAGACTAACTCTTTCTTCCTCAGTTAAGTCATTATGGGGTGACACCCCCCCCTGGTAACGCAAACCAGGACATTCCTTACTGAAGGTATATGAATCACAGTTGGAAATGTTTTGCTCCTCCCCCACCCCCTCCTGAGGCCAAGGTTTGGATACGCCACGTCTAGGTTTTTTCCTAATTCAACAATACATTAACAAAATACTCGTAATTCATCCAATTATCATTTACCTCAAGTCAGAACTTTGATTTCCCATAACTCAATATTTGTTAAAGGTCCTTCTCTATGGGGCAACCTCCCTCCTGAACTAAACATCTGCCCATCACTTAATTCTTTTAAACGCCGTTATAAATATGCAGGCTGAATATTTTGTTGTTGTTCGTGTGTTCTCTGTGTATGCTACAGTCTTTCGATTGTGTAATTATATAGTTTCTGTGGCCGGTTTTTTTATGATAGGTTAAAGTATAGGATTGTAAAATCTTTAATGTCCTATTGGAGATGCTTTCCTCAGTCAGAGTGTAGACCTCTAAGAAAAATCTATA